GTTTGTATAATCGAGTATTAAATGACCATGTTCTAATCTTTTGAAATATGTATAAATTGTGTATTGACAAAAACCAATTTTAAAGTAAGCTATTTAGTTTTTCTCTGAAACCCAAATCAGGCTTTTCCAAAATCATGGTAAACACAATTTGAGCTTTTGATTGGACGATCGTTTTTGAATGGGAATTTGTGAGCCGATCAGAAGAACCGGAGAAGTTAGTGATAATTTGGTCATCGAAGGAAACAGTCGTTTGTCTCAAGATAGGGTGTGGTTCGTGAGTTGGATACCGGCATTGTGAAAAGAATTGAATAGTTTTGCAGAAGGATATAACAAGTAGATTAAGGTCCTTGTATCGACCGTGGGCATTTGGTGAATATATGTGAAAGTAGTTTTATGGCATCAAGTTGACAAAAGGAAGTCCTTGTGTCATTAATAAGTAGCTGAGTTTTTGGAGAAGTGAATCAGGTGTTTTTGGTTAGTGCAGGAGGTTTGCAGAGACGTTAGGAAGGAGCCGAGGTGCCAAAAAGGAGAGATCACATCGTTGAGGAGACCGGATTTTTCTGGGTATGTTCCAACATACAACTCAATAAAAAAATAAGCTGTGAGTATTTTGTACAATTGAAATTAATATCTATGAAGGATCTGTGTTGATATCATGGTCATTAGCATTCACATTTAGGAACTGAGGTTTTGTTAGACTAATCAAAAGTTTAGTTTTGTTGTTTTTTTGTTTCAAGTAAAGGAAAATTAAAGTAAAATTGTTTTCACTTAATATAAATGTATGTAGATTTAAAATCTTATTATTATAAAAATTTGATTTATTTTCTTGTATGCTGATTGATAAGTAACGGCAGAATTTGATGGTTGTTTTATTCGTTTATATAAAATAAAGAAACGTAAATTTTTGGTAATATAATATATTTTTTTTATTATTATCCTTCTTCTCTATCCCGATAAAGGACAACTAGAAAATCTTTGAATCCATCGAACACAGGTAATATAAGAAGTTTTATTTTACATTTGATAACGATTAAGTTATATTTTTTTTATTGGTTCAATAAACTAAGATCAAAGTCAAAATAAACAATCATAACAAATGGCCCCCAACGTGTAAGGCGTAGAAAGTATTTCTAGTTGAAATTTAAACGGATAGAGAAAGAAAGCAGATTGATTTAAAATTTATTTGCCGATGGTTAAAGTTTATAATATTTGCTTTTATGACATAACATTTCAAATTTCTCTAGGTACAAATTGTTGCATGATATATTTTATGATATTTGATTGATTTTTACAACTGACAAAAGTTTTAAATTTTATTGCATGTATTTGAATTTATTGCATTTGGGATAAGAGGAAACATTTTTTGGTCTTTGCAAAATTACTCGAATTTCATATTTGGCGAGGATATTATTGCACAAATTTCAAAGCTTCATATTTGGCGGGGATAAATAATCTAACGAACATGTCGACCACAAGGAGTCAAAGCAAAATGCAAGAAAGGAAGGAGGATCACAGAGAAGAGGAAACAATTGTTGATGAAGGATCGGATAATGAAGGAAATGCTACAATAATAGAGGAAAGAAAAGAAACAGGGATGTTAGAAAAATTATTAGCAATGATGCAAATACAGACACAAACAATAGAGAAAAACCAAATTGAATCATTACAAAAACTGAAAGCAAATCAACTGGAAACAAAACACATAATGGACGAAAATAACCGCAAAATGGAAGAAAAAAAAACGGGAAACAAGACAAGCAATAGAACTAAATAACAGGAATATAGAGCAGCGTTTGGAAAACTATGAACAGGAAATTAAAAGATGTGTTGAGGGGATAAAGAAAGAACTGATACAACAGATAGAAGAAATAACCCTAAAGAATGCAAAACAAGAGACAGAGATTAATGAAATTAAAAATAAAATGGGAGAACAAGAAAACAAAATTAAGGAAATCAAGATTGTCCAGAAAAGGGAATTAGAACAGTTAAAAGAAAAATTTGAAATGGCGCTATAAGAAGACAGGAAAGAAGTAGAAAGGAGATCAAAGCAAAATGAAAAACAAATGGCAGAGATTGAACTAAGAGGAGTAGAGAGAAAAGAAGTTATCATCCATGGAACAAGCGAGGTGAAAGTACAATTTGGCGGGGATGTAGGAAAACTGCACCCCGTACCGTTCATGAATAATCTAAAGAAGAAAATACAATACATGGGAAATTTTGAGACAGCAAAAAAATGATCAGAAATCATCCCAAAGATGAGGCGAGTTTATGGTTCGACAGCACAGTGGAGGAATTTGAAAATTGGCAAGAATTTGAAAATAAATTTTTGAGTTTTTTCTGGGGAACGACAGAGCAATTACAGATAAACAAGGAGTTGCAAAATGGGAAATACCATGAGAGGATGGGTATATTAGAAAAAACATACGCATTGCAAATGTACAATACCGCAAAACATCTGCAATACAATTATTCATCCGAGCAATTAGTAGAGTTGATTGCAAGACACTTTGATGACACAATTGAAGATCAAATCAATCTACAAAACTACAAAGACATCGATAGTTTATGCAAATTACTACAAATAAGGGCATCACGGATGCAGAAAGAGGAGGACAAAATTTTAGGAGGGATTACACTAGACGAGAATTTATTCCCAGGAGGGAAAACGAAAATAGGGAAAACAGAAGAGGAAATGATGATTTTAGAAATCGGCCATGGAATGAGAGAGAGAGGACAAAATTTTAGGAGGGATTACACTAGACGAGAATTTATTCCCAGGAGGGAAAACGAAAATAGGGAAAACAGAAGAGGAAATGATGATTTTAGAAATCGGCCATGGAATGAGGGCAGATACCGAGAAAATCACAACAGGGATAACACACGCGCATATTCCGAGAACAGAAATTACAATAGACGAAATAAACAGGAATATCGTGGAAACCGGAACGGATATGACAGACCAAAAGAAAATAGAAGAAAACATCATACACAAATAGAAGAAAATGAGGATGAAAGACACAGCGATGAAAGAAGAAATACGGAAGAACCACAGTCGGTTTTTCACGAAAGCACTCACTAAAACCAAAAAACCAGACAGGAATTTTTTGTCACCCGAAGGAATTTATTAAATTAGCAGGAAATAATGAGGAAAGAAGAGGAGTTAATTTAAAATTTGTAGATGGTTTCATCAAAATAGACCAATCAAAATTTTGATAGACACCGGTTCAGAAATCACATTGGTAAACAGAAAATTAATAGAAGAAGTGAGTTTGACAAATTTAATTTACAAAATACCAAGGGTAAATTTGGTGGGTGCAAATAAACGGACATTGGCAACGATAAATGAAGGAATACGAGTGAGGGTACGATTGGATGAGAAAATGTATGCATTACAATGTGTAATAATGCCAAACATGTCGCATGACATGATTGTAGGAGTGGACGAACTGGCAGAAAAACATGTAGTCATAGATTTAAAAAATAATGCGATGAAAAAGAAGAGAACAGGAAAATGAACATGGGAAACAGAAAATTGATAATTCGGAAAAAGAACAAACAGTGGAAATGAATTTGGCAATGAAGCAAGGACAAAGAAGAAAAGGAAGAAAACTTAAGAAAAGGATAAAGAAAGTCAATACCGGGGATTCCTCAAAAGAAGAGATGAGCCCCGAAGAAGAAGAAGAAATAGTGTCAACAAAGGAAAATGAAAAGAAGATGATTGAAACAGTGGTATGTAAGGAAGAGATTGATGAAAAAGAGGAGAAATAATGTGCGATAAATATGTGTCAAGAATCTGAGGAAAAAGAAAGAAAATTGATATGTGGAGAAGAAAAAGAAAATGAGATGTGTCTGATGTCAAAAGAACACGAAACTTTAATAAATGAGGAAAACAGAGTGAAAAAAAAGTACGAACATTCTTTTGAGGTAAAAAACTTGGGAATCTTTCGATCGAAGACTTACCCGATCCCAGATAAATATCGGCAACAGGTGAAACAAGAAATTAATAAAATGTTGGAAGATCAAATAATTGAAAGATTATGGGAATTTATAATATCAACGATGTTTACAAATATTATGAATAAAATACTGGTATTGATTTTGCATAGAGAAAAATCCCTGCATAATTCAGTAATTTTTATCATATGCAAAGGCGGGGATTTGTTATGTTTCTTCTTTCCCAACCAAAGAAAAATAAATAAAAATATCCATCGAAATAAAATTTTAAGGTATAAGTATAAGAAAATTGTATATAGTAATTTAAGATAAGATTTAGTGTAGGTAAGAATAGAAATTTGTTTGGCAAACGACCTTTTTCCGTTTCCTACAAAATGATCAAAAAACCTTTGTTTAGAATTAGAAGACATTTTACCTGTAAGTTAATCTTTTCATTGTTTGTATAATCGAGTTTTTGGAGAAGTGAATCAGGTGTTTTTGGTTAGTGCAGGAGGTTTGCAGAGACGTTAGGAAGGAGCCGAGGTGCCAAAAAGGAGAGATCACATCGTTGAGGAGACTGGATTTTTCTGGGTATGTTCCAACATACAACTCAATAAAAAAATAAGCTGTAAGTATTTTGTACAATTGAAATTAATATCTGTGAAGGATCTGTGTTGATATCATGGTCATTAGCATTCACATTTAGGAACTGAGGTTTTGTTAGACTAATCAAAAGTTTAGTTTTGTTGTTTTTTTATTTCAAGTAAAGGAAAATTGAAGTAAAATTGGTTTTCACTTAATATAAATGTATGTAGATTTAAAATCTTATTATTATAAAAATTTGATTTATTTTCTTGTATGCTGATTGATAAGATAACGGCAGAATTTGATAGTAACACAGGTAATATAAGAAGTTTTATTTTACATTTGATAACAATTAAGTTATTTTTTTATTGGTTCAATAAACTAAGATCAAAGTCAAAATAAACAATCATATCAATATATATATATATATATATATATATATATATATATATATATATATATACTATTTCTTATTAACTTACCCAAAATGCATATTGCTTCTTCTTGGTCTTAAAGCAGCGGTTGCACCCCTACCCAGATGGGTGGTGCCATGAGATGTATTATGTGGAATGCGTCTAACATTATGCCTAGTTCCTACTGGCTCATCCAAAAAAGAAATTAAATCTCTGGCACCAGTACGATGTTCCAAAGTTAAATGGCCAGAGAAATCATCAGTCATTAAGTTTGGGTCACCGCCTGGCATTGCAGCGCAAAGTGGACAGACCTAAAAAATAATACAAATAGAGTAATTGAACTTAGTGACAAGTTCAACAACTTGTCACTATAATAGTGAGGAGAATACAGTAAGCGAATGGGATTAGAGATTAATACCAAAAAGACCAAATTTATGATCATCTCCAGAAACTTAGATGCACTTGAAAACTCCACCATAACACTGAATACTAAGTCCATTGAAAGAGTGAGTAAATTTAAATACCTGGGATCGTGGCTTTTGAAGACTGTGCATCGGACAGGGAAGTAAAATGTCGCATTGAGCAAGCTCGACAAGCTTTCGTAAAATTCAAGAAAGTACTGACTTGTTCAGAGTTTGATCTTCAACTGAGACTAAGGTTTACTAAGTGCTACGTATGGTCAGTGCTGCTATATGGTGTAGAGGGCTGGACACTCAAAACGAGGGATATAAACAGATTAGATGCTTTCGAAATGTGGCTTTATCGCTGTATCCTAAAAATACAATGGACAGCGAAAATCCACAAATATAGATGTCCTTAAAGAATAAACCAAGAACGCCAACTTTTCGAAACCATCAAGAAAAGGAAAACGGCGTATCTAGGTCACATCATACGCTATGAAAAATATCAGTTCCTCCAACTTATAATCGAGGGTAAAATTGAAGGCAAGAGGCAAATCAATCATTATCAACTCATTATCAGGACACAAAAGGTAGCCCCGTTAAGATAGACAAAATGCCCTCATTGCCAGAATTCAATTTTTTAATTTTTTTTACGTTATATGTGATTAAAAAATTAGGCTGAGCGCAATTTTAGACCTCCACCCTACCCTCAGAAAAATCCCCCATTCACTCAAAAGGGCCTCCATTATAGTCACATTAAAACCAGGAATGTCAAATGATCAGCCCCCAAACAACCGACCGATTGCACTGCTGTCTAAAAACTGTTGTAAGGCTTAATCTACAACAAAATTAGTAAAAACATATTTGAATTGATACCTATTGAGCAAGCAGGGTTCAGACTTAACCGCAGCTGCACAGATCAGATCTTATCTCTAACAGCACATATTGAAGCAGGTTTTCAAAGAAAGCAAAAAACATCCGTTGCTTTCATTGACCTATCAGCTGCATACGATACTGTCTGGAGACAAGAACTAATCTGCAAACTAATCCGTGCCATTCAGTGTCAAAAGGTAACTAAACTCATTGATACCGTGCTCACCGACAGACCTTTTCAAGTCACAATGGGCAACTTTAAATGTGTCCAAATGAAGCTCAGCAATAGACTGCCACAGGGATCTGTTTTGGCACCATTACTGTTTAATTTATACATCGCGGACGTACCTGGGACAACTTCGCAGAAATTTGCAAATCAACAAGATATAATGTAGGGGAAAGGATGAGGTAGCTGGTTTGATAAAAAAAGAGTAAATATTTGAAAAATTATAATCTCACCTTCCTATATTTGGTAGATAAAAAATAAATAAAACCTCGAAGGACCAGCGACCCATAGGTCGCAAAATTGCTGATTAGTAATAATGTATTGAGTATTAAAATAGAAAATAAAATAATTAAAATAAGAATTAAGTTAGAAATATTTTTATTGTATTGTTTTCAGAAATAAGTAGAAGTAGCGGAATCGCCAACAAATCACCCTTTTATAATAATAAAACATAAATGTTCATATAAAATGTTCTTAAAACGCACAATTGTTTATATTAATTTATAGAACAAGAACGGTTATAGTTTATTGAATATCCGACAACCCTGTAATTTGTCGGACCGGCTTTAATGAATTGTTGGCACAAAAACTATTTCTTCTGTCTGAAAGAATAACAGGTACTTACATATTAAATGCACAGACACTGAATTTAATATAGTTAATGAACTATTTAATAAAATAAGTTATTTGAAAACTGCTTCTATTTGAGAAGCGTGAGAACTATAACGTGATTCTATTTGAGAAGGCAAAAACGAAGTGGCGTTTAAGGTTAGTTGGGTTTGAATATTTTGAATCTGAAATACTGACAGGCGCAGCTGATACGAAACAGCACGAAGAAAGAATTTCGTGCTGATCGCATAGACTTTAATTTAGTAAGATATATTAGTGAGAATAATAAACAAACTATTGTAGAAAATATAATTAATTTTCTACACATAAAAACATGAATATTACAGAAACAATACTAACGGATGACCTTGCCGTTATAGTAGAATGTGTGTTGTTTCCATCTGAATAACGCCCAAGCCAACAAAAAACTCTCCGTTCACTTTGAAAACACATTGCTCACTCATAACTCAACACCAAAATATCTTGAAGTGACTATGGACAAAATATTACGTTTTACAGAACACCTACAAAGAACGGCAGCAAAACTGAAAACGCGAAATAATATGGACCAAAAGCTATGTGGCACCACATAGGGGTCCTCAGCATCCGTACTCAGATCATCCGCCCTCGGACTTGAATACTGGGCGGCTGAATATGCTTCCCCGGTATGGCTCAATAGCAAACACACGAAGATTATTGACACTCAATTAAACCAGACAATGCGAATGATCTCAGGTACAATGAGATCCACACCAAACTATTCGCTTCCCATTCTGAGTCACATTCCACCACCGAAACTGCGAAGAGGTCATTCTCTTCTCAGAAAATATCGAAAAATCGAGGCTAACCATCAACTACCATCCACCATGATAAGCTTGATATCGAAATAAACAGACTGCGCTCCAGATAGCCTCCATTGTTACGAGGCAACTCCTTACATCAGGAACATTTCAACCTCACGCAACTCATGCGACTCACCACAAAAAGCACACCAAATGGCCTGTATGTATCAGAAACCGCCAGCCTTTAAACTGACCCGCAATACGTGTACAACGCTAAACAGAATAAGAACAAGCAGCGGTAGATGTACTGACATCTTATATAGATGGGGAAAAGCCCTTACTCCTGAGTGTGACTGTGGTGCGCAACAACAGACCGTCCGTCACATTGTTGAAGAATGCCCCCGAAGGCGATTCCCTGGAGTTTTCGATGAGTTCCTGAATGCGACCGAAAATGTTTTACAGTATATTAATAATATATTAAAAAGCACGTGGTGTTCGTGTGTATTAAGGTATAAAAAAACCGCTTATTAAAAGCTTAAAATTTTTATTATAAAGAAGATCTTTTCGGAATTGTATCATTCCATCATCAGTTTAATAAAAGTTGTTGAAAAAAACATTGTGTGGCCACATAAAAACATTCGATGGACATCTGGATTTAAAAAATAATCTTCATGTTATTTATTAAGGTAAATGCAATAAACTCTTGAATTGTGTATTAATAAAAAATGAAAATGGGCGCATCTTATATGACCCCCTGTAGCTGGTGAGGTTTTATCGACTTACATTACCTCTGATCTGTGTTGGAGTCTAGGGCTAACTGTATATGACAGAAAGTAATACAAAAAGTATAATAGATTATACTTTCTTTTCTGCGACAAACAGATTCTTTGTCTAATGCCCTCTCTCTCTTTACACACACACACACACACACACACACACACACACACACACACGCACACACGCGCACGCCCACCACGCACACGCACACGCACACGCACACACACACACACACACACACACACACTCATATATTATATTGTCTCTTAGTTCTGGGAAATAAGCAAAAAAGTACCCTGTTTCTGTTTGTGTCACTGCCAGACAAACGACAGTTATTTTGAATAGTATGACCTCTAAAACAAGAACATATAAACAATTTTAAATATTGCAAAATCATTTTGTAAAAATATGTTAAAACAATTAGAATAACTTTTTAGCCATTGCGGGACAAAGTTAGTTCCATTTTTTTTGATAATTCACAGCAGCTTTGTTTATAACAATTAAGAGCTCTAATTAGCGTCATTTGTAAGGGCTTATTTTAAAGTTTTAATGTGCCAATTCGAAAAAGATTGCTTTTCAAGGGGCCGTTAACTGAATCTCTGGTTCTTGTTTATGGATTTCGACGTTTTTTTCTTTATTTTTTACTTTATTTCTTACTTCATAAATAATTTATTTATAATAGGTTTTATGAAAAAAAAAACCAAAATATCCTATTCCATTATTTTTAAAAATAGTATTGGTTTATATGTTGCTTGGAAATAAAAAAACCTCGAATAAACTAGTTTTGATTTCTTGGTAAATATGCTATTAGATGAATGAAACGAAAATGAATAAAGAAAAAATATAACAAAAATCGTTATTTATTGGCATGCAATTCTGTCTGGCACCGTTCGGTCTAAGGATTTACATAAGTCTGGGTCGAAACTATCCCATAAATCACCTAATTTACTTTTGAAATCGGCGACGGTTATCTAGGGATCATTACACAATTTCTGTTTTATCTTATGCCACAATTGCTCAATAAAATTAAGGTCTGGACTATTCGAAAGCCATGAGAGGACTTCGCGCTAGTTCAGTAGAACGCGAGACCCCAAGAGTACTCACTAACCGCCGAGTTCTAACCTCTGACAGTGTGTGGTATTAGGTTGGGACTTAAGTACTACAAAGAACGCAGAACTCAGAACGTCTGACCGCTATATGTGTGGGCGGGCTTAAATGAGCTTATGTGCTTAGAATATAAAAAAAATCCCCGAAGAATCTCGCAGTTTTTCCAAATTTAGAGCATAATTTCAGTCTGAAAATGGCCAACACGGCTTAGTTTTTAGAAAAACGAAAAAAAAAAGAAGACATGGGAATAATATAAAAAAAGAGGGATTCTCGTATTTTGAGTATGTTCTGGTCTGAAAATGGCAAACCTGATCCTGCTATTAGAAATAACAAAAATATATCAAAAATTTTTATTTATTGAATTAATAAATTACATAGATACTTCCTGTTGTGTCAATCGATTTAAGTCAAAAATTATTATTTGTTGCCCACTTTGTGTAAAATTATGTTAAATTTTTATATTAATGAATAGAGAATTGAATATCCCAAATGAGCTAGCATACCACCTCTATAACGTCACTAGTATGATAGATACG